CAATTAGGGTTTCTTTACTCTGCCTCAAAAGATCCATCACAAATCCCTCTAAATTTCAAAGCAGGCAGTGTGCTTATGGTTCAGTAATGAGTGCAGTGGTATGGATGGGAAGGCTTAATTTATATGTACAAAATCCCTGTGTAGTCTACTGGATTGGGACCAGCTCATACATTGTGATGTTTCACAAATATCATATTTGATGGCACACAAGAATGCAGTGCTCACATTTTGGTGCAATTGGAAACAGCCTTGATTTTTCTGAATTCAGGCTAAGTGAACCATGAAAGACAAGAAAGTTCAAGTTCTTCCTGTTAATATATGATTAGGAATTTCCAGGTCTTTATTGGAGGACATTGTGTTTTTTAAATCTGCTAATAGAAGTTAAATTTATGTACTAGCCGACATTTATAGTCCTTACCAATGGCTTCCTAAATTTTTCATTCTTCCATGGATTGTGCCTTTCACAGAACTGAACCCCCCACCCCCCCATTAATGCTATGTGTGCAAGCATGTTAGTTCTTATAGAATGGATTAGCATTTTGCTAAACCAGAACAGGAAAAGAAGAGAGAGGACTTTTTAGTACTCAATAAGGAACTGGGGAGGGGGGGAGACAGTCTGCCAGCAGCCACAATCTTTTTGAATGTTAATTACACATCTGCCTGTATGAATTCAATACAGAGTGTCAGTTGCCCTAGACGTGCCATGCTAATTACAAGAAACACTGATGATGGTAAAGTCTATAATGAAAAATCCCCAAAGTGTTTAATTGCTTCACCATATTGTACAAAACATTTGGCACATGGATTTTAAAGCCATGCAGTTTGCTGTGCAAGCATTGCTTGGAAGTGAGAAGCTCAATGCATTTCTATTCTCCCCTCCCCACCCCCATACACTCCTCAGATCTCTTGAATTCACACATTGCAGAAAACGTTAATGCTAGTGCAAGGCCCTGGATTTCTCTTCCACATCTCCAAAAGTCATGTTCTTCTAAGGCAGAGCTGGAGAATATGTGGCTCTCTGAATGCTGTTAAACTCTAACTTGCTGGAGGTTGATGGCTTCAATGTCAGGGGGGTGTTGGATCCCTTTCAGGTTTTAGTCTGAAGCTTATGGGACCTTTTGAAAATGCTGAACCCTGTCTCCATGGAATACTAGCATCTTGGATGTAAAATTCAGTGTAAAACCAAACTGGGTTCAATGCCTGAAAGATATTTAAGTTGCTAGGACTCCTCGTCCCTTATTTAAGAGACATGTATTGATACAGTTTTTTTTGTAAATGACTGAAATGCTACACTAAAAGCTGTAACTTACCTATTCTCCATTGCACCACAATAGCTACAAGAATATACAAGAATATACATACATATATATACAGTGGTGCCTCGACTTATGAAATTAATCCGTATTGGAACAGTGGCTGTAACTTGAAATTTTCATAAGTCGAAGCACCATTTCCCATTGAAATGCATGGGAACAGGATTAATCCATTCCAGCATTTCAAAAAATAAAATAAAATAAAAATAAAATAAAATAAAGCACACAGAAGGCTGCAAAAAACAAACAAAAAACAAACCAAAAAATGAACATCGAGCAATCCCCATGCTGGGACTGCAAAAAACAACACAGCACAGAAACATAACCCTCCTCAGCCGAAACCCACCCTGCAAAACCCAACCAGAAGTTTCTAAAAAGGAAAAAGCAGCCACTTACCAGGCAGACTGAAGCATCCTCTGATGGCACTCACTCCCGGTGGGGAGCCTCCTCCTGCGCTGCTGCCACACATCCCGTCCACGGAAGAGCAGGGTGCATCAAAAGCCAATGGGAGAGCAGAACTTGGGCCCATCATGCCATTGGATGTGGAGCACAGTGTTCCAACTTGTTAGACTGCTTCCTAAAGCTCCCCTAGCATCAGGAGTGCAGGGCCTGTAAAAATCTCCCTGTGCGCTGGCAGAAAAGAGCTCTCCACAATCCCAGCACCCGTGTAAGGGCTAGAAGTGTTCCCCATGTGTAATGAATGAATGCTCTTGGTAAAGCAGCACAGGTTGTGAGTCCTAATGAGAATGTCACCAACCATTCCAGCTGCTGGTGCATATTGTTTTCTTGATTACGGATGAAAAATACTTCCCTACAGCTCTGGCTTGTCATATTACTCAGCTAGACCAAACACATATTTTGGGCCTGTTTACTCAGCTTTCCCTTGTACTTATTTCCATTCAATTGGTCAAGATGCAGTTCCAGCTGTCAAATTTGCCTGCCCTGCCTGTGTGGCATCAGAAGGTCCATGCCGCAATGTGGCTCAGCCCAGTGAGATCACATGCACCCTTCCTTAGTCTCAGGCTTTGGAACCTGAATTATAATACTGCTCTGGCAATACAACTTGGGTACCATGAACCTGAGCTTCATATGCTTAATTGGCCATGGCACAATGAGCAACTGGGATTGCTAGTTCTATCTAAGTTATGCCAAGTAGTCCCAGCTCTTGCTAAAAGTGTTTTTAAAACCCCCACAAACCTCTGAGTTCAAGCTATTGTGACCCTTGCCTGTATATGCTTATCCTGAGGATGGAATTTCAACCACGAATTAGATTGATTTCTCAAGTGGAAGCCTTCTGGACAGGTTGGACTACAACTGGACAACTGCCCATGCTGGCTGCAGACAAATGTTGTAGTATACTAGATCACTGGTTCTTAACCTTGGGTTACTCAGGAGTTTTGGACTGCAACTCCCAGAAGCCTTCACCACCTGCTGTCCTGACAGGGGTTTCTGGGAGTTGCAGTTCAAAAGCATCCAAGTAACAAAGGTGAAGAACCACTGTACTAGATGACATATAGGACATACCACATAATAGAAGATATATATATACACTTCCTCTGGTGTATTGGGCCATCCTCAGCAGTGTTGGGGGTGTTGTATTTGAGCCCCCTGAGGTTGGACATGGCCGACAAACTGCATATTGTTCACCCCTGCTATAAACACTTATGGAAATAAGCCTTGATTAAGCATGTATGAGCAGATAAAAGTGGGATGGAGCACTTGGTTGTGGCACCAGTGCCTAGTTCAAATTTCCACTATCTCTCCTGGGATGGGGCTAACCAAGATCATTAGTGCATGTCCACCTAATTGAGTTATATGCCTTTTCACCTATGTGGCCCTGGACAAGCTGCACAGCCCCAAAGCATTACCAGAAGGAGGAACTGGTAAAGCAGGTCTAGAAAATCCTGGGAGGGTTTCCTTAAATTGGAATAAAAGTGATAGTACATAATGTATAAGCGTGAATAGGTTTGCACTGTTAACTACAGTAAGAATTATATGTACTTTCCATTATTTTGTCCTGGCGAAAAGAGCTCTACTTTTCTTTTTTTGCATAGTGTGTATAGGATATTATCAAGTCACATTAGAAAAAAGAGAGTGAGAGACAGAGAAGATTGGTACATATTGTATTTCTAAAAGCTCTCTTCCATTATCTGTTTGCTTTTCAATGCATATGTAACATCATTCAAGGACATTTCTGTATCTTGAAAGTGATTTGCATTGTTCTTCCAGTTTTTGTACATCTGGCAATTTTAATAAATCACAAAATGTGATGACACAGAAGTTGACACACCATTTTAATAAAAGAAATTATTTATTTTGGTTTAAGGCAATCCAATAGTACCATAACATCAGACAGTCAACGCAGAATACAGTAACAAAAAAGATTCAGGTAACTGCCATGCAAATAAAAATAGTTGTGAAGGGAAAGGGGAAATAAGGAGGGGGAAGAACATGCTGGGTGGCTGTATGAAATGTCAGAAACTAGAAAAAGTTTTGATGTGGAGAGCAGACAGTAAACCCAGCCACCTTTTCCCATGCCATCAAATGAGGTTACCTGGAGAATTCCTGATATTTCCATCATCACCATCACCATTGCCACCTGAGAGCAAGTGCCTGAGCCAGGATCTGATCCCAAATGCAGAGGACACTTTTTAAACATAGCATGTTTTGTCTGCACACTGCATCTATTCACAGCAAGAGTACAAGTTCACATGACATATACCATGTTGCTTCTTCACTCACACAATTGGGGAACAGAACTGCTTCAGCATGCTTCATTCAACACATACATTGGTACGGACACGTGGCGCACAAAACTGCTGAACATGTAGTACTCCCCAGTTGCACTTCTCAAGACATAGCCACAGACGGACAGATGAATTACAAATTTGCATGGGTAAATGCTCAGTTGTCTATCTGTTCCTTTAGAACAAGGCAACACTGTTAATGCTGATTCTGTTGTAAATTCTGGCTTTGAGTGATAATTGGGAGGAAATCACTCAATACTGCTGACAAAAAGAAAATAAACATTGATTTGTTATTTTACATCCCCTTTCTCTTTATGATCTTGGAAGACCATATATGTGGGATCTTGCCATTTTGAAGAATGCACTCCCCAAAGTGAAGTTAATGGCAAAGCTCTCTTTGATCACAACTCCTTCAGGATTGGTCATACATTTCTGCTCCTTGATATGTGAACCTGCTAATCTCATATCAAGGATTCTAATCCCAAATTGGGACTCTCTGTCTGGATTACATTTCAATCAGCTCTTCAACAATAACAGAAGATCTAAATCAAGGCGGGAGAGGAGAGGTACTTCCAGGCAAGGATTTTATTCTGTGACCACCATGCCTCAAGTGAAACTTGTTAATGGGCAGATCAAGACATGCTGACAGGTAGCACAAGGAGCTCTCCATCTGGAAGCACCCTACGTGCAAAATCTACTGGCAAAACTGAAGACACCTAGACACCGAAAGGTTCAAAGGTAACCCATCCTGATCTCTGGGTAGCATTGATAATGTAGTTGTGCAAAGAGCTTATTGATATAGGGAGAGCAAAACCACTTCAATAGGCCCAGTTTTGACCAAAGTACCTAAAAGGGTGAGAAAGTAAAGGTAAAGGTAAAGGTTCCCCTTGACAATTTTTGGCCAGTCGTGTCCGACTCCAGGGGGCGGTGCTCATCCCCGTTTCCAAGCCATAGAGCCAGCGTTTGTCTGAAGACAATCGTCCGTGGTCACATGGCCAGTGCGACTTAGACACCTAAAAGGGTGAGAAGGCAGACTGCAAATATGCTGCCCCTTTTTGTAGTACTTTGTATCTATGATAGGGCCATGAAGGTGAAATGAAGCTTTCCCTCCATCTTTCCCTCATACTGTAGGTACAGACTATTTTTCCTTCTATTCCAGCCACCAGATTCATCTAACTGTGGCCTAGATCTTGTTCCACTTTCACCTGTTTGTTATGTAAGACAAGGACTAGAGCAAAATAATGTTGACAATTGCAGAGGATACAGTACCCATAAAAGAGGTTTGTAGTTTCTCACTGGTATTCCTATTTAATGTTTGTGTGAACAAGCATGTGGATATTTTCAGTGTACGAGCCTTGGCTTTGCAAAGCCCAGCCTGGGCCTGCCATGAGCCATCTTTCCGAAGTCTTAATATATATTGTGTGACCTACTGTTAGGTAGAGAGACACAGCTGCCTGCTCCCCTATAGGCTGGGACAGAAGAAAATGAGATTAATGCTATTAGGGAATATCAAATCTGAGGATCTTCAGAAGCTTCTCCCGTTGCAGCAGGAAGGAATTCACGGGTCATCATCGTTTACTGCTTCCTCTTATAGGACTCTTGCTTTTAATCCAGCATTTTCTAAGACCTGATTAAACAATATCACAGGGCACTGGCATCTCCTCAGTGTTCACATGGGAGTCTGTGTGGGTGTTATGGAAGAAAATGGTCAGGCCTGGCTCAAGCTCTCCCACTGCTTAGGATGGGCAGCAAAGCATTGCCTGCCAAATACTGTGCTATGGTAGTGGTGATATGCCCCTACCAAACCACTAGATTGGGTGGACAGGAGGAGAAGTTGTTCCCATCTTCCAGTTCCTCCCAACTACTAAGGGGAAGTAGCAGTGCCCCGATGTCCCACCACCCACTGATCTTGACTAGGAAAAGAGAGAACATGGCCCCAGATGCCCCCTTCCTCAAATAGGATGTGGTGGCATTAGCAGCACTCTCTGCCCATTCTCATCACAGGAAGAGGCACCCGTCCACGTTGTTCTTTGGTGGATGGGTGCCTCCTCAGGCGTCAAGCAGGGAGCACTGCTGATGCCATGGTAACCTTCTTTTCGGAGAGGCCAGCTATCAAACTCCTCCTCTCTGTTTAGGAAGCATGTCTCACAGAAGGTCTCTGCACAGCATCTGTAGCACTCCAGAGCTGCAGGGGCTCTGCCTGAGAGGGTAGCAAATGGCAGCCGATTTGCCATTCTCACTGCCTTGTTGCCTGAGCAGGACTGGCTACGGAGATGGTTATGCATGAGAGAAGGGCACGCATTGGTAGTGATGTTGGATAATGACAGGGATGATAAAACAGAGAGGTGGGAGACAATATGGGCCAAAGGGGTTTTCACTAATGGAAATGTTTGCAGGCTGGGAATAAGATCATCATCCATGGGTAAGGCAGAACCAAAAAGGGCCATTTGACTGGAATTTTGGGCATTGGAACGGGTTGGGTAACCCACTTGTCTGAGAATTCAATTGTCTATGTTTAAAGTGTAAATTGCCCCTGAGTTTATGGCATTAATGTAGGGACATTAATAGATACAAACGAAATTGGGACTTTCCAGGAAGAGAGAACTGCTTGCAAAATCTGTGCCTGATTGCTGCAGAGCAGAGGTGGGGAAACTGTAGCCCTCCAGGTCTTGTTGAGTGATAGCTCCTACAATCCTTATTTATTGGCCATACAGGATGAGACTGATAGGACTTACAATCCTGCAATACTTAGAGAATTACAGCCGCCACCACCCCCGTTCTTGCTCTGGAACTTCATGAAGGTTTTGAGATTTGGGTCAATCTGGAGATATTATGTAGGAGTTTTTTGTTTTACCAAGGTTAGGAGCAATGGAAAGACACATTGAAGTGCAACACAGCAAGTGTGTAATGAACTAGAACCACAAATTATATTTCTTCATCAATGCAGAGAAACCACTTTCCATGTCCCCCTATGAACTCGGAGACAAAACCACAAGACTATCCTGACTGAGAAGACCAGCTCCTAACCAGATGGGCAAAACTGCAATAAGGTCAAAACTCAGGCTCAGACTGTATTTTCTCCTCCCATATTCAGAACGTTTCATTAATGCTCTGTATAGAATTATCAGGTATCAAAATCTAAATAGTAGGTTTCTGAAAACAGGGGCATTACAAAAATGACTTCATACAAGCACACAAACAAACAACAATCCAGGCCTGCACAAGTATTTGCCAAAGAATATAGATTTACAAAGAATAAAGACGGTTAAGCAACCAAAGGACAGGATGCAGAACAAGAAACAGTAGCAACACCAGCAGCGTCAAGAGACGACATCACATGGATACTTGACCACAATATTCAGCCTGCCAGGTCAACCCGTAAACAGAGTCATCACAAAGCAAATAGGAAAGGATTTTAGGTTACAGGTGGACTATACAGGTAGTGGTGGGGAGCTATTTAAAAACATGTCATTCAGAAGATGGTGTGGAGTCAAAGGGAGACGAAAGATGCTTGGAAGATTGGGCAAATTGTTCCTCCATCACACAAGTCATGAGCATGATGAATCAAGTCAGCTTCCTTATGACAGAAAGTACTCTTCTCAACTTGGTGAGCTCCCCAAATAGGAAAGAAGGAAGCTGGCCTGTAGAGTGGGCTTTTCCTTTTTAAAAACAAATCCCACATTTCCCCCCAGGTTGCTGCATCTCACGATGGACACGTCCCACCCTGTATGCATATGGATGTGCCCAAATCACAGCATAAACAGCAGTTCCCAAAGTGGATTTTTGACAGGGAAAGTGCAGTGTGGATTTTTCATTTCGTGGTGTCATCATTGCATTGAGGATTGATAGCCGATACAAGAGACAGACCTGGGTTTCATATCCACTACTATTGAGTACTTTTCTCTTTCTCTCCTGGTTTTCAGATCTCAGTCTGAACAGTGTGGCTTGTAGGGCTGTAAGGGGGTGGTGCAGGGTTGGGTTTGATGCCACGTCCCTTCATGTAGGAGATGAACTGATCTGGGATCTCAGCCAGGACATCTTTAGCCAGCCGTGCCATGCTCAGGACATGGTTCCCAGTGCGATCAATGTAATCTCGGAAGGGGACAAACTGGGAGAAAAAAAGGACATTTATACCTCAGAGACTAATGCAGAATAGCATTTTCTTTAAAAGAGTGTGAACAGGTACAGTATAGGTCCCCTCCAGATCGTCTTAGACTGCAATTCCCACCAGCCATAGCCATGTCAGCCAATGGTGAAGGATGACTTGAGTTACAGTCCAATCATATCTAGAACGCTACTTGTTACCCAGCTTTGGATTATTCCTCTATGTTTGTCCTACTTCAAACTTGAGGATAGGGTGGGCTGTAAATTTAAGCAAATATTAGTAACATGGGATACTACATGACAGCAGGTCAAATTGTTTATCAGTTTAGCCCAGAGTTACAAATGTTACTCTCTCTTTTTGGACTACAACTACAATTTCCAGAATCACCTAGGCAGCATGTCCAGTGATCATGGCGGCCAGGTAATCCTGGGAGTTGCAATCCAAAAGTTACGTTTCCAAGGTCCACGTCTAGTCAAGTGCTTACTCTACTCTACTCTACTCTACTCTACTCTAGGCGGCGTTCCAGAGGTTGAAGGAGGCGTTAATCAACTATCCTGTCCTGCGTGCTCCAGACTTCGACCGGGAGTTCATCATCTACACCGATGCGTCTAACAGCGGGGTAGGAGCAGTTCTGTGCCAGGAGGATGAGAATGGTGACCAGCATCCAGTGTCCTACCTGAGTAGGAAACTTCAAAAAGGTGAGAGACATTTGTCAACCGTGGAGAAGGAGTGTTTGGCCATAGTCTACGCGATCCAGAAGGCCAAGCCTTACATCTGGGGAAGACATTTTATTCTGTGTACTGACCATTCACCATTGCAATGGTTAAAGACAATGAAAACCCACAATAGCAAACTTATGAGGTGGGCTTTGAACTTACAGGACTATGACTTTGAAGTGAAGGTGGTCAGAGGGTCAGTGAACTGTGTTGCTGACGCCTTATCAAGAAGACCTGAAGATTGAAGACGGCGAAAGAACATGGACTATATGTATATAATGAAAACAAAAAGTTAAAATGTACCTGGTTTTAAATTGGTTTGTATTAATAAAGGTAAATTGGTGTAATGTATATGGTAAATGTTTAAATGCCTATTTGAAATGTTTAACTTAGAATGTAAGTAAGTATAATATGGTAGGTATAATTGGTGTTGTGTGTTTTATACAGGTTGTTTTTTGGGAAAAAGCACCTTAGCTTTCCCCCTACAAAACAACTTATAAAGAGGGGAGGTGTTACATAACAGCACTGATGTTACCTGTCTGTCATGGGTTTGGAGGGAAAGTTCCATCCTATGGGGAGTGGAAGGCGGGACATCAGGAGGAGGGGCTGTACTGTATAAATATGTGATGCCTGTGTGGTGAAGGGAGATGCTGAGACAGACTGTGAGACACTGGGTTGGGACGAAGCAGCAGCTGGGGAAGAAGAAGCTGTTGTGGGAGTCTGTGTGTCTGACAGGGTACTACTGTGTGTCAGAGTACCAACCTGAAAGGTTCAGGGGTCTGTTGGTTAGCCAGAACTGATGGGTTCAGGGTCTGTGCTTTAAGTTAAAGGTTCTAGGTGAACCAAACTGTATGCTTGTGTGTGTGAGAATAAGCCACGTTACTTTATTTTATTCACCTGATTGTTTTATTTACCCTGTTTGTATTTAAAATAAACCTTATTCTTTTATTGTTTAAAAATCCATCCCTGGTCTGTGTGACTTATTATAGGGAATGGTTGGTGGCAGCTTAGTAACTGTGTGATAGATCCCAGTAGGTCTGGGTTTGTCACACCACGGACGGAACCCATTACTTTCTCAGCTATTTTCTGAGACTAGCTTTCACCCCTGTCAATGCAACCCACCTTGAACCTTCTCTTGGTTCACATTTACAGCACCTTTATGTAAACTAGCTATCCATGCTGGGGAGCCATTTCCTGGAAACCTTGTGTTTTAATACCTTTTGTTCAGACAAAATTTAATCACAAAGTGAAAAAGTTACTTTTTTGAACTACGAATTTCCAGAATGCTGGTTACAACTGGCCATGCTGGGTGGGACATTCTGGGAGTTGTGGACCACAAAGGAATGTTTCCAGGCTCTGGATGTACTGTGGATGCTGGTGGTACCGACTCTACTTGGGTTTGCATACCCTGACAGCATTGTGGAAGCTTACACTGACTCATGCCAGACAAATTCTGAAGCATGGAGACTTGAAACTCAAATCTTGCCTTTTCTGCAAATAGGATTGGTATGCAGTTTCAAGCACAAGTGGCAAAATGGGAAAGAAGAATATTTCTTTTAAATACCTGGACAATGTCACGTTCGGCAATTTTTCCTCGAGATGAGATTCGAATGGCATCTCCATCCAGCTCCACCATAGCTGTCCATTGCAGGGAAGGGAAACAAAAAGGGTTAAGTGCACAAGGTCAATAAGAGCGCAAAGGAGCCAGAGACCACAATGGGCTCCGGAAGCTCATTTCTGCATTGCAAATTCATCATCTGAAAAGTTCATTTAAGAAACTGGTACAACTATTTTCTGTTCAACTAGAATCACGTTTCAATTTTCTCCTTCCATACTGTTACTTGCTGTACAAATGACCTTATCCATACATCATTGTTCACGGGACAGTAGAATTAATTGGTTATGTGTTTCCTGCTAGTTATATCATGGAGACTCTCAGCAAGGGGCAGATTTTTGAACTGGAAACTGACAAATATAAAGTACGAAATGTGTAACTTGGACAAGTACATGAGATAGGTTAGCTGTTGTTTTGTAGCACCTTCAGAATATGCAACAATTGGTTAATCTTAAGGCTTTTTTAATGTTTTGGTCTCTTTTGAACTTCCTCTAGTTTTTCTTCCAAGCAAGTGCAACCCCAGCATACAGTATGATAAAAAGGTTATGTGTTGTACATGCCTTACAATAATATCACTCTACTTATGTGTGTATTTTCTCCTTCATCATCTAAAAAATAAAGGTTTAATTATAAAAGTAGTCCCTCTTTTTTTAAAAGAAAATAAAGGTTTAACTATAAAGCAGAGTAAGCAGTGTAAAGAGAAGATTTATTTATTTATTTTATTTTATTTTATTTTATTTTTTTATTGTCATTGTAAGTATATACACAGTATACCCATACAATGAAATTCACAGACACCCAGAGACCAGACACATGCACACACATAAAATTCCCCAAACACTCCTCACCCACTAAAAAATCCCCCAACACTCCCCATCCACTAAAAGTCCCCACTAAAAATACAAACATCTACACCGCAGGCCAAGTAACACAGTCCAACTAACTATTCACTACTGGTGGTCTTTAAGCTCATTATTAAGTGCAATTATAGCTCTGGGATAAAAACTATTCAGAAAACGTGTGGTCCGAGTCTTAATTGTTCTATATCTTCTGCCAGACGGCAACAGTTCAAAAAAGTTATAAAGATTTTATAAAGATACAGATTTTATAACAAAACTGGGAGGATGCCCGTATAAAAGCAAATACGGTAACATTCACAACAGCATTTCGGCTTGCCTATAGTTTTTGGTCTCACTGTGCATGTGAAATCACAACACTTTGTGATGCAGTGGTTAAACTGCAGTACTGAAGCCAAGACTGTTCTCATGACTGGAGTTCAATCCTAGTGGGTTCAGGTAGCCAGCTCAAGGTAGAATCAGCTTTCAATCCTTCTGAATTATGTACGCAGCTCTCTGGAGGGGAAATGTGTAGTTTACATAATTACATTGTAAACTACCTAGAGAGTGCTTTAAGCACTATGGGGCTGTATATAAGCAGCATACTTGTTAATTCTGCTGCTAGTAAAGAGCAGGCTCATGCATTTATTATAGCAGGACAATAGGACCAATCTTTCTCTTAAAGTCTTTTCTCATTTTATAAAAACTGTAACAGATCAGGTTCTTACCATCAAATTCAGCTTGTCCAACCCCCACAATGATTATGGACATTGGAAGCTTTGCAGCCTTAGAATCACCAGGAAACACAGGTAATTTGATGAATTGTTGGGAGAAAGGGTTGGAGTTGATAATTTGTCATGAGTAGAAGAGAAAGAGAAAAGGCATATATTTATGACAGAAGATAATAAGGTGATATGGGTGAAATCAGGCTGTAAAAGTCAGAGGTGCATTGTTTCTGGGCCTCCCCAGAATCCCCCTATTCCTGGATTTCTTATCAGGAATAGCCAATGCATCCATCCATTAGTGAAGGCAGATGGGTACTGCAACCCAGCAAGATCTGGAGGATCACACATCCTCCACATGTGGTGTAGGATCTAGCACTGTTAAGTATTTGGGCTGAAATTCAGTTGCTAGTCCTTTCCATAGTACACCTATTGAATCAACAGAATTTATAAAAGTGTTGACTTAGCGTCAGATCATGATTCAGTGAGTCTAGCTGGGATGAGCAACTTGATTTAGGCCTTCGAGTAATGATAGCAGGGAAGTAATTGGGATCTGAGCAGATGTTTCTTTGTATGACAAATTAAAACAAGAAAGACAGCATGAAAGTCAGTCCTAAATGCCAACTGAGGATGATGGTCATTTTAACCCTTTTATACATGCATCATAATTTTATAGTGATTCATTTTTGTAATGACCAGTATCACTCTGAATACCCAATTACATGGTCACATGAATAATTAGGCAGTCCAGTTCACAGTGGTGTTGGCAGTGCAATTCTCAGCCCCACCAACACATTGAGGATTTGGACCCCTTGTGTAATTTACAAGACCAGTCCTTCTAATAACTGCAGCATGGAAGCACAGTCTAGACTTCTTATCTCTGCTCCTTCACTTGCATATTCCATAGGATGTTTTAACAGGAAGAGTGGTTTCTGATTATAAAGGCTTTTCATTGTAAAGTTTGTATTTGTATTATCAATCACCATATACTTGTATTACCAGTCACCATATATTTTGTTCATATATTTATGTACAGTATTTAATTCTGATTACACTCCCAAACTTACTGAAATAGGAGGTTCTTTGTATTTTAAGATAGTGCATATTTGACAGGCAAAAGAAATCTGTGCAGTGGTTACGTGACTAACCCCTTTGCATCAGAAGTAAATTCTTGATGCTTCGCTTGCTAGCATGTTACGCTACACATACAAAACTACCATTTTTTTTATCTTGCCATTTTTCATGCACACATTTTCACTTGCTTTTGGAAATCCAAAATAACAGTTCACTTCATGGATCTAGGCTACTCACATTGACGATTGCTTCTTTTGTCTGGGCCATGTCTGATATCACACCATCAGTGATGATGAGCAAAACAAAATACTGCGTACCATCCTGTACAGCTGCAGCATACCTGAGTTAGAAGAGAGGATTGAGTCAGGGTGGTCTCAATTTTCAATGGGAAAACCTGCATTCTGTAACCAGTTCTCCGATTAGACCACAGACAGAGCCCCTACAGAAAGAACTTAAAGAGTTTGAAAATTCAAATGGGGGAGAAAGTGAATTTAACATATTTTCTGATTCCTAACAAGTCCTAGGAAAGAAACTGATTCTCCAACAAGTGCTCATAACATCGCCTCCTTTTTCCCCCAAGAGAAAAATATCTCCTTATTTCCAATATAGAAATGACATATCCTGTGATTCTCACTAGAAGCAGCAGTTCTTTCATAACACTATTATGTGGGCAGCGGCTTGTCTTGTTCAACCACACTACAAGGGAGATCTTCATCCACCCCCCAGTTTTGTACAAGTAAAGAATACCCTTTTTACCACAAGGTTCTGTGACAAAGTAAAATAGGCTGGATCCAGCCTTCACCATCTGTGAACAGAAATGCACCTTCCATTTATGGAAGACTTCCTGGCCATTAGAAAGGTCCACTCAGTAGAGTCAAAGCTTGAGGCTTTTGCGATTCCTCCCTCCCCTTGCAGCTCCTGGTGCCATCTCTTACACTGTGTGGAAAGATCCCTCAGCTTTCTGGTGAAGACATTTAGAGGGTGTAAGTGGTGCAAAGCCAGTCTTTGGTGTCACACACATACACACCCCATGGCAGAAACATCCTGTCTGTACAGAATGCTGCTAGGAAGATGCTTGCATCAGCAGAAGCAAAATATGAATCAATCCCTGGAGCTTCTGGGCAACACAGTGCAACTGTGATTTGGATACAACTTCAAGCCCAGTTCCTTGAAATCCTTTCTTTTGGATCATACTTGTTTATTTTGTGAGGGACGTGGTGGCGCTGCGGGTTAAGCCGCAGAAGCCTCTGTGCTGCAAGGTCAGAAGACCTGCAGTTGTAACATCGAATCCACGTGACGGACTGAGCCCCTGTTGCTTGTCCCAGCTCCCGCCAACCTAGCAGTTCGAAAGCATGCAAAAATGCAAATAGATAAATAGGTACCACCACAGTGGGAAGGTAACAGCATTCCGTGTCTAAGTCGCGCTGGCCATGGGACCACAGAAGATTGTCTTTGGACAAAAACGCTAGCTCTATGGGTTGTAGCGAATCCACGTGACGGACTGAGCCCCTGTTGCTTGTCCCAGCTCCCGCCAACCTAGCAGTTCGAAAGCATGCAAAAATGCAAATAGATAAATAGGTACCACCACAGTGGGAAGGTAACAGCATTCCGTGTCTAAGTCGCGCTGGCCATGTGACCACAGAAGATTGTCTTTGGACAAAAACGCTAGCTCTATGGGTTGGAGACGGAGATGAGCACTGCCCTCTAGAGCTGGCCATGACTGGACAAATTGTCAAGGGGAACCTTTACCTTTACCTGTTTATTTTGTGGCTATTCTCTCCAGGGTGGGGGGAGGAAAGGAAGGTAGAAAAAGTATGAATATTTAGTGCGTATAATTTTTTCATGCTCTTATTGAGGTGAAATCAGATCTATGTTTAGCAACCCATACTTTTGTATGGCTACTGTCCTGTGATAATGACTCTTGCCTCATTTCATGAACAACCCCTATAGGATATCCCTACACACTGCCTGTAAAGGGACTGTAAGAAGCCAACAGGAATGCAAAGGGCTATTCTGTTTAAAGTGAACCAGAGTTGCTTTCAAGGTGACAGGAATCAGCCCTCAAATACCTGCAAGTCACTGCCAATCTTAGTAAGCTCCTCTTGTATGACATAATTGTACCTGGTCTTTGCAGGACATATTACCTAGCCACGTGGTTAACCACTGGTGCGAAGTTTGTTGGGCCATAGAGTTGAACAGTCTTGAGGCTCTGATGATAGGCTTCAAGGATTCCTTCTATGCCACTACAGTGAGGATTCTCAGCATTGCCATTCTGCAGCAGAGAAAGGGAGATAAAACTAGAGGTTCCTGGACAAAGCCTGCTTCCTTATGCTCTTGGATACCTCTCTTTGCATTCGTAAAATTCCTTTCAGCATTCCATTAGCAAAGGTGAACAATGGGGACAGAGGAATCACCATCTAAACATCAAGTTATTATTACTCTTATGCAGGGATTGGCAACATATGACCTCCAGAGATATTGGTGGACCGCAACATCCATCAGCCGTAGCCAGCGTAACCAGGGGCGAGGAATGCTGGGAGCTGGGAACCAACATCTGGATCAAGTCACTAGCACCATGTGTGTTTAAAGAAAAGGATCATATCTGACAATGCAGACTGCATGTGCATGCAATCTGGGTCAGAACCAAAGTGGGAGCAAAAATGTGAAGCCCCTCTGTCCCCCAAGTGAGGGTCCCAGCTCATTCCATATATTCTGCACTGACTTCTTCAGTAAAGGAGAAAACAAGGCATAGCTTCTAGCAACAGAAGATGCCTCTTGGGAATTTAGTGCAAAAGCAGCAGCAAGTGAAGACAAAACCCCTCTCACAGATCTCAAGCCTGTGCTGATTTTAAAGAGAAACAGCACATCCGACCAGAGCCCTGTGCTAATTCAACCCCAAGACAGCCAGTTGCTCCTCCCTGTGTGAGGGCTTTGCAAGACCAGTCTTGTGACCGAAGAAACAAAAGACACACAGTGCAATACTATTCATAGTAACACAGAAGTCCCACTGTGTTTAATGGGTGCCTCCTCTCTAGCAAATATATCTATAAAAGGCTACAATCCTATATATGATTATTTAATTGTTATTTCTATTTCTGACTTTTCTTTCAAAGAGCTCAAGATGATGTACATGACTCTCTTCCTCCTCAAATTACTTTCACAGTCACCCCGTGGATTGGATCAGGCCACAAGAGAAGGACTAGACTGAAGTCAGGCAGGGAATTTTGTGGCTCACCAGACAGCTGAACCTGGTTTTTCCAAGAACACTCTAACCACTACATCATAGGGACTCTCTGATGTCCTACCCAAATCAGCAGGAGTTGCTTCTCAATAAGGCACACATCAGATTGCACTACTAACAACTCCAGAAGAGGTGTCAAGGAAGGTCAGCAGCCAATTGGGCCAGGCTGTCTGCCACTAGATCCAAGTGGAAGGAAAATGAAATCCAGGAGATGAGCTTTGAAATATTACTTTTCAGCTCTACAGATCTTAGAGTCCCTCAGCCAGCATGCCCGGGGGATTGGAGGCTCTGCAACCCTAAAGGCAACCTTCTGAAGCATTGTGCAAGGGGGTGGTTTTTGAGAGCTTGGTGTGATTTCAAAGGAAGTGTCAGTACCAAGGGGAACTCATGGGACACACGCCCATCAGGTGGGATTTTGGCTCCAAACCCAAGTGCAGGGAACATTTTGTCGCTGTCATAGTCCTGGATGATCTCGCCGACCGCCTTCAGTGCCATCGCATATGCGTTGAGCTGGTAGGGATTCATGTAGTGAAGAGAAGTAGACTGGGAGGGATTGCCTACAGAAGAAGAAGAAGAAGAGAGAAAGAGAGAGCAGAAAGAGAGCACCACATTTGGTTCACCTTCTCGGATCCAAGAGGCGCTCAAGATGTCTGTGCCCTATTATTTTTCAGGTGTTAGGTTAAGACATTTTGTTCTCTCAAGAATCATTTGAATGATTTGTACTTAAAGTACTAGCAGGAGTATTTTCAGCCCTGTATTTTAAAGACTAAAAAAGAAGTTTGTACTGGCAATTTTACTTTTACGGATTTTTATTGCTTTATTGTATATCTTCTTTCAGTTTCCATCACGTACTACAATGAGGGTGGAATATTAAAAAGAGGAGTCTATAATGCCAGAAGCAAACACTATATTTAGAGAATATCATGCAAATTATGTGTTCTGAGCTGTTGTTTGTCCTAGTAGTGCATTGTTTTTCTTCAACCTGTGTGAGCCTGCCCAAGTGGATTACCAGGAACACCTATTAAGCTGGCAGACATGCAGAATTTTCTCAGTGCCTGTTCCACTCCTTCACAATTCCCTCACATGGAATATGTGCATATGGTTGCCTCAAGACTAGCTTAAAATAAAAACACACTTTAAAAAACACATTTATTTCCAGTCTGTATTTGGTGCTTAAAAATCATTAGCCGCTGCTTCATGCTATTCTGATAATGGTATCTCACATTTTTGTAAGTTTATAAGCTGGCTGGCTAGAGTCCTCTGCCTAGAAGTACAGTTAAAAACCTTTCACGTAAATAAATAAACACATACATGAGCTAGCAAGTTGAGAAAACAAAACACAGGATTCTGTGCTGTTCTAGTTTTAAGTTTTATTCTGTTCTTTAATCTTTTCAGTAAGACTGGCAACTTCGTAGTTTTCAGCCACAACATAAACCTGTGTAGGTAAAACAAAGGACTGACATCCAGCATTATGGTATGGGACACCTGCTAGGGTACCACGATTTTCTTCCTCTCCCTTCCTTCTTGCAGACTTCAGTGCTACCCAAAATCCAGGCTGGAGCATTTCTTAGCACTCTACAGCAGAGTTTAAATGCATACGGGTGGGCTGAAGTGGGGAAGGGTAGCAGTTCCATCAGAAGAATTGAGGTTTTTAGATCCCACCCTAGCTAGGTACTCGACCATCATTAGAGAAATTACCTTTACTCCAGATGAAAGCTTGCTTCCCAGCCATCCACTTGCATTTGTGTGCCGACTAGGCTCTCGCCCTGCTCACACATTAGAAGTTTGCTCAAAGGCCAGCTTAATTAAGGAAGGTGTGAGGGTAAGGATGTTTATTCTACAAAAGTGTGGGCCATTCAGGTTTAAGGCAGCTTGGATCTTGAAAACCAAATAGGAGCAGTAGTGAGAGGAGTTGATCCTGATCCCTGCCTTGTATTACTTTGTTATGCCTTGTTTCTCTTTTGGACCTTTTGACTCAAGTCAGGTTCACTGCCACTATAAATACTTACTCAAACTAAGAATTTAGCCATGCCTGCTGGGAGATTCTGAGAGCTCTAGACCAAAATATAAGTTTTTAATGGTAGCCTTAAACTGAATTTAAACAAAGAGTGCTTCCAAATTAGTCACTGAACAATCAAGAAAGATGTCATTCATTTTACAAGATTCAAGCTGCAGTACTATGCAGAGTCACCTGAGGTATAAAGCCCATAAGCCCAGGTACTGATTTTTAGTTAGCAGGCTTAGGATAGTGTTGTAGATTTTATGGTTACAGCAATTACATACATTACAAACTTTAGAAAATGACTGAGTTCTGCAAAATGAATGCTATTAAAAACAACTTACCATTGGATGCTGTGAAGTCAATAGCCACTGTGAAATTGATCTGTGTCCTGCAAAAAAGGTCACAGCAGAATCAATGACCAGACTGTTAAATCAAAAAGCACTTTGATTAACCCAAAACCTTTGGGAGGAACAACAGTCCCAAGCTGGTATCTGCCAATTTCCTCTTTCTTTTCTGCTACAAGCAAACCATGTAAAAGCCTTTTAAAAAATTGTTAATCAGAATGGGATTGTAACCCAGTGTTTTGTAACCTATTTATTGCAAGAGTTCTCAGTCTGTCTGTATACTGGGACTGGAAAACACTGCACAGCCTGGCAACTTACCTTCTTCAGACAGACATCTACATGTTGAGAAACTCAAAACATCTATTTTCAAAGCGCAGTAGCTGACTTTTTAAATGCCCAGCAGCCCAAGCCAATGCATGCTTACTTAGAATTGAGTTCAATACAGCTCAATGCTCATGTATTCACAACAACACCCCCCAAATTTGTGCCCTCTGGGCTACAACTCCTGCCATGCCCAGCATCAGGCATGTTGTCCCATGTTGGAAAAAGTTGTGGTTCAACAACAATAACAAAACAATTGAAGAACACTAGTGTACAAAATTGCCAAGCCAGGACACCATTGCTTTGGGGATTGAGGTACTACAATATTTTCCCCACATACTTCTATGGAGATTGCCATTCAATCTATCACAGCATGCCTGAAGAACAGCTTTCAGATGTCTGAAGAACTCCCTCTCTCTCACACACACACATAGGAAAGAGGGAAATTTTATATATTGTTGGTGGTTAAGGGCTATAATCAGCCTAGAAAAGACAGATATGAATCTTAACAGTGGTCACTAAGAGTTGTTCCAAGGGCATGGTGATTGACAAGCACTCTTGACTTAAACTGAGCACAGTGGCAATGACATCCAAACATCCAAATGTTGATAAGTAAGTTCAAGACTGAAATAAAAAAGGGCCACAAGAAACAGGAATGCAAAAATTATAGAGAAAATTGTCCAGTTATCATATAACGTACAACAGTTTGGTAGTAATATTCCAGATAAATCTGTATGAATAAGCTGCTTAACATGTGCAATAATGTAAAAAGCCCCTGGTTCAACTGTGGATCACACTCGTCTGTTATACTGGACTTAATTGAAGACTTATTTCCAACATAGTACAGTATGTGTTAATCTGTTTATCTAATCTCTTAATTATCACTGTCATCCTAAAAATACAGACATTACTTCTAAAAAGAAATCCTTTCCAATCACCTGTTACAATGTGCCACTTATTGCTGTTACTTGTTAGAATGTTGAAAATGTAACTCACTACATTACTAGTTGTTCTGCTTCTTACTTTTCCATTATATTATTTGTGTTACTTGTGGAATTGATAGGAATTGTGTAGAATTTGAATATTCTTTGTCCTGTAGTGACAAAAATGCTTTGAAATGTTCTAAAAATAATTAGAAAATATTGCTCGTTATAACTTTATACATGCTCATTATCTTACTTCTGAAATGTTAAATTCATGAAACCCTTGTTACCATGCAAGGTAACAGGTTACAGCTAACTATGCTACTTGTAACTCATTACTTCCAAGCTCTGGTCACTGTTAGGATGGTTAACTACCTTTAATGATCACTAATAAGACCATTTCCACTACACTTCACATTCAACTTGCCTGCCCCTGCATGTTCTCCTAAATGTCTGTCTCTAAGGCTACATTCCTAGCTATCTAAACAAGTGAGCTACCACCAGTGAAAGCAGATGTTGAATAAAACATGTCAATTGTTAAGGAGCCATGAGGTTCTTTAGTACAGTGCTCCCCAACCTTGGGCCTCCAGATGTTCTTGGACTACAACTCCCAGAAGCCTTCACCACCACCTCTGCTGGCCAGGATTTCTGGGAGTTGAAGTCTAAGAACATCTGGAGGCCCAAGGTTGGGGACCACTGCTTTAGTATATTCTCAATAACTGATGGTAAATAAATTATTATTATTATCCAAAAACACCAGGCACAGCCAATTAAAATTATAAAACCATGAACTGATATTATACAGTGGTGCCCCGCATGATGACGATAATCCGTTCCGGGAAAATCGCTGTTAAGTGAAATTGTCGTCATGCAAAAAGCCTTTCCCCATTGGAAACCATTGAAACTCAGTTTAATGCCTTCCAATGAGGAAATTACCTTGTCGTCCAGCAAAGATCGCCCATAGGGAAGCCATTTTGTGAGCACCGATCAGCTGTTAAAATGGCTGCCCTGCGAAGTATGGGTGTGGAAAACACAGGCCATATATACCTGTAGTGACAAAAATGCTTTGAAATGTTCAAATAAGTAACATGTGGAATAATTAGAAAATGTTGCTCATTATAACTTTATACCTGCTCATTACCTTACTTCTGAAATATTAAATTCACGAAACCCTTGTTACCATGCAAGGTAACAGGTTACAGCTAACTATGCTACTTGTAACTCATTACTTCCAAGCTCTGGTCACTGTTAGGATGGTTAACTACCTTTAATGATCACTAATAAGACCATTTCCACTACACTTCACATTCAACTTGCCTACCCCTGCATGTTTTCCTAAATGTCTGTCTCTGAGGCTACATTCCTAGCTATCTAAACAAGTGAGCTACCACCAGTGAAAGCAGATGTTGAATAAAACATGTCAATTGTTAAGGAGCCATGAGGTTCTTTAGTATATTCTCAATAACTGATGGTAAATAAATTATTATTATTATCCAAAAACACCAGGCAGAGATTCTCACTCTCGAATTGGCCTTCTCAACCATACTAGACGCTGTTCCAAGTCTTCTATTCAGAGCATGTTACCATATT